CGACGGACTACAGTGCAAAGTAGTGCATGGAGGACAGCTGATAGATGCATTCCAAGTAAGGACCGGAGTCAGACTAGGCTGTTTACTCTCTCTCTTCCTCTTTCTTCTGGTGGTCGACTGGATTATGAAGACCTCAACATCTGAAGGAAAACACGGAATACAATGGACAGCTCAGAATCAATTAGACGATTTGGACTTCGCAGATGACCTAGCCCTCCTATCACGTACACACGAACAGATGCACATAAAGACAGCCAGTGTAGCAGCAGTCACTGCATCAGTAGGCCTCAACATACACAAAGGGAAAACTAAGGTCCTCAAATTCAAAGCGGAGGACAGCAATCCAATCACACTTGATGGCGAAACTCTGGAAGATGTAGAGTCCTTCACATACCTGGGAAGCATCATCGATGAACAGGGAGGTTCAGATGCAGATGTAAAGGCAAGGATTGTCAAAGCAAGGACAGCATTCCTACAATTGAAGAACATATGGAACTCAAAACAACTTTCAACTAATATCAAAGTAAGAATCTTCAATACGAACGTCAAGGCAGTTCTACTGTATGGATCTGAAACTTTGAGAACTACAACAACCACAATCAAGAAGGTACAAGTATTTATAAATAACTGTCTACGCAAGATACTCAACATCCATTGGCCGGATACCATCAGCAATAGCCTTCTGTCGGAGAGAACAAACCAACTTCCAGCTGAAGAAATTAGGAAAAGACGATGGAAATGGATAGGACATACATTACGCAAATCGTCAAACTGCATCACGAGGCAAGCCCTAACTTGGAATCCTGAAGGGAAGCGAAAAAGAGGAAGGCCAAAGAACACATTGCGTCGGATAATAGAAGCAGATATGAGAACGATGAATTACAACTGGATGGAGCTAGAAAGGATTGCCCAGGATAGGGTTGGATGGAGAATGCTGGTGAGCGGCCTATGCTCCTTCACGAGGAGTAACAGGCGTAAGTAAGTAAGTAATATAATAAGATAATCATTTAGCATATCATTATAATCTGTCTTTCAAGCCTTAAAATTTATTTTACCGTATTTCACTGTGCAAAAGTTACTTAGTCTTATTTTAAGGATTATTTACATCATGGAAGACGATTCACTGAAGAATCATTCAAAAGTGGGAAACACTACAAGGTTGTCTCATTGCACTTAAGGTGTACTTTAAATAGTGAATATTATCAACCTTATAAATTTTTAACTTATTAGTGATTATAATATCATTCAGCTAGCAATTAAAGCAAGTCAATTATATATATATATAATTAATATATATATATATATATATGATGGATGATAAAAAGAGTTCCAAGAAGTGAACATTCCTATGATATCAACTATTTATTGAATTATAAACAATGTGTCTTGCAGAATCCTTAGTATTAGCCGAACTATATCGATCAGATTCCCAGTTATTCACACTTTTAAGTCGAAAATACTGTAAATTACGACCAATGCTAGGTAGTTGAATGTTATTATTGGGAAGATTTAAGTCTATTTTATATGCTAATCAGTACTCCTTAGTAAATCCAATGTGCGATCTTTGAGAAACTGATGTTCACCCCCAAAGATTTTAATTTTTAACCCCAATTATCTTATACTAAATTATTCGGTTATTAAAGTACGTAATAGGCATTAGCCATATGAGGAAGAGAAAAAAATGTCTTCGAGGGGATGATTACCACTAACTTATTGTATATTTTAGTATCCATCATTGTGCAAGAAATAAATATTTGTAAACAATTTTCGGGGCATGCTTTTATGATACGTCAAGTCAATAAATATGCGTTTAAAAGAATAAAATGGAGGTTCATTTTCACACGGATGAATACAAAATTAGGTGGAATTATTGTTAATGTGTAGATTTTAAAAAATAATCTAAAACGATATACTGATCGATTTCGTGCGTAAATCCATAAATGATACGAAACTGATGCTCAACTTCAGTAAATAAAATCTTATTGTGAGACATAAACGTTTCAGATTTCTTAGTGTATGAACAGAAGGTTAGCTTCACGATAGGTTCATAAATTCCTTCTGAAAAACAATGACAGGTGGATTTCAATTGTGTTGGAACAGTGGTGCAGTTAAGATAATTGTAGGACTATGTGGAGAACTAACTGAACCTAATAATGTAGACCGCCGGATATTAACAAAATAGTTCAAAAGTATCATACCCTTCATGATACTTAGATGTCTTGAATTCGACCGCTTGTGGCTTTATGGTCATATAATTCTGAGATGATTTAAATTAGAATGAAAACAGCCGTCCAATACTCACAGGTTTTTATTGACGTCAGACAGTAATGAAAACATTATCTTTAATATAACCGTAACTATTTGATTCCTTAATGATACTATGCTGATTATAATGAAGAATTTGACGATTGAACATTTTTTCAGACGAAAGTACAGAAGAGATATATACACTTCTCGTCTATCAATTAGTACGTCTAACTAGATTGTTTAGACATGATAATGATAATAATAAACATCGAAGTTCAATAACATAAAACATCAATCAAAATAAAATCAGCGTTGATTTTCATTTTAAAAATTATTGTGGATAATACTTTGTTGATGTTTTTCTAAAAAAATCAATCTACTTTCTGCATAAATGTAAAAAAGGATTAGAAAAATACTCCAGGTATTTCCTGGAGTTCTAGTGAGAAGCAGTGACCAGTGGAGTTCAACCGGGTCTGTTGTGAGATAGTAACTCACTAAAGATAATGGTGAATGTGTCGCTCAACTTCGTGGATTAGTTGAAGTTAGACATTAACACTGTCGGATGCCGGCTCAGTTGTCTAGAGGTTAAGCGTTAGCGCGAGAGACCGACAGGTCTTGGGTTCGAATCTCGTGAGGCATGATCGTGGATGTGCACTGTTGAGGAGTCCCATAATAAGACGAAACGGTCGACCAGTGCTTCCAGGTTTCCCATGGTGACCTAGCTTCAATTGACTCATAGTCTCAACTATTAAATGAATGTTTGTTAAAAAATCAAACATTTCATTTTACATCCGTTTATTAAATGGATCTGTATTTTTGAATGTGAAGTGCATTCTAGATAAAAAAGAATTTATGTAAGTTTATTATTGGTTTCGAGCATCATAAGTCTAAATAATTTATTTCGAAATGCAACCATAAATGGGATTGTTTACTGAATCTATTTAAAGTGGCTTGGACTTTCACATTATTGTTATCGAAGTACAATGTTCAACGCAAGTGTAAACTCTAGAAAGCGGATGACTCTGAAAAGCTATTTCCCTTTTTATAACGTTATTTATGACTCATCATCACTATACGCCCACAGTTTTATTTTACAAAGTAAATTTACATTTTCTTTTCGGTTTATTGCTTTACTGTATTTGTTCAATAGTTTCAACACTTGATGCTTTATACTAATTGATTAGACACAATTAAAAGCGTGTACTTGATCAATGGAAAAATCGAAATGTTGCAGAAAAAATTAATCGCGTTAATTAGAAACACAATCACGTCTGTTTAAAATGTCAATGAAAACCTACGACCTTTGCAAACTGTATATTCGATTTTTAAGCAAGTCTAGACATTTTTTAAATCTAAAAGTGAAATCATTTTAAATTGTCATTTAAAGGTATTTTGTTAAAGCACGTTGTTAAGAGATATTCAAATGCTATCAAGTTGCACCGTGGCAACTAGTCTTAGTGACTTGACATTGCGTGCATTGTGTTTTGATGTTAAGTGGTTGGACGAAGTCCTGGCGATAACTACCAATTCTCAGTAACCAATTAATGTAGAAATCTCACTTCTATGAGAAGTCACTCACAACTACAAAAGCCCAGTGGTAACATCTCATAGTGTGAAACTGAGTAGCCAGGGTTACAAGCCACTAAGAAATATCAGTTTCCTCACGACTGCCGGCAAGCCTTTTTGATGAATATCTAAGTTCAGGGTGTTCTGACAATTACCTCCGAAATCTATTTACGAAATGACATTGGATATTTTCGTTTCGTCACTATTTTACACAAACACACAAATATACATACATATTATCATAGATCAAATATTTTGTCTAATATCTCAAGTTCTGCACAGTGTTGGTAACCCGTAACTCCAAGATGATTTTTCATTATTAATCTTCAGTTTATCAATATCATGCCAGTATTTTATGGGTTTCGTTGTACTGAAAACTAGTTGACCATCTATTGACTGTTTATTGTCTATTACAGTTAAGGCTTTCAGAAGCTAAATGTACTTCAGTGCTCGTCGATCAATTAGTCGAGGCATCTCAGTGTTTTTTTCGCCGACTTTATCTATGTTACGAAGTATTTTCATGACAAAAACCTCACTAGTAAATATAGTCCTTAAAATCCATATTTCGTCTGCCAACGACGATGACTAACAATTTCAAATACACCAGATAAACAGGGCTATCAAGGAAAACGTCTTAATCAGATTGCTTCTAACTGAAAAATATACTGAGCATACAAATTTGAGTTGTATCCACAAGATATAAAGATCTTGAAAACTAAGAGCTTGTTTTTTAATCTTCCTACTTAACTTGGTCGACTAGAATTAAACAAATAGTTCAAAAAGACTAGTTACAATTACAACCACTGAATCAAAAGAGCAGAACGGTGGTAATATAATGTTATATATAACCAATAGATAAGGCCTATATGGAAGCCACAGTGGTCACTACTCTGGCATCAGTTAATGTAAACATTTTGATCTTTTTACGATATTAGTCTTGGCCTGAATATCTCGGTGGACACCTCTCTGCCTATGATACAGAACTGAATCATACGAGGAGAATCAGTTCCACCGAGATCGTAGATTATTTTTTGTTGACAAGTCCTGGGTTGTAATAAGAGATATTGAAAATCATACAAGGAACTTCGTAATAAAAGATACTACTTGTGGACAGTTTTTTCTGCTATCAGGCAGCGTTTGTTTCTGCACAGATAAAGCAAATTTAATATACAGAAATAACGCAAAATCGTATTCATACAGCGTACATTTTTGATTGACTCGATGGATAAATTTTTATTGAGAACAAATGACTTGACTGGGAAAATACACTTTTTTAAAAATCAGTATTAATTAATTGAAAAAGATTGTAGTTATTAAGAAATATTTTGGTTCTGAAGCTAAAGAAAACCACCAAATAACATAATTTCGTATTTACAGATATAAAAAATCAACCATAGATTCGTAGTAATTTTTTGTTCTTTATGGAAAGAATTATTGCTTTTCAATTAACGTCCCTCGAATTCGCCTTTGTTGAGCCTCTTCATTGGCCTGTTAAATAAACATAGAATTGATGAGTTCACATCGAACTGTAATAAGTTTTCTGATAATTATTTTGAACTTGTGTATTATTATTGTTAATACTCATGTGCAATAAAAATTTATTACATAGGTTGGCAAGCCAAATGAAAAGTTTCAAGATAACTAAAGTAGTTAATTATCTGTAACATAGATAACATACTACCATTATTATATAATTGCCTTAATGGCAAGTATGTTGTGACTTTCAAAATCATAAACTTGAAAATTATATCTTTACAACATTGAACATGATAAGTGAAGCGAAATTCTATGTGCCCTGTTCTATATAGTCTATAGTAATATTCAAATCACAGAGATGTTCCTTAATTTTTAATCAATGACGCAACAGTGAAGTCAACACTAATTTACTTGTAAAAAAGTATTATCATTTGTTATTAAACGTTAGTGAATAATTTTAACTTCCAAACATAAAAAAACATTTTCAGCTCAGGCGAGGGCCCATAAATATTATATTAAACCTCTTTGACAATCATATATGGCAATGACGTTGATTGTATACAACTTGTGGAAATGAAAATTCATAATGTACTATTTGGAATTCACCTAATTCACATCAAGTACGGTTTTGACTGGAGCCCCAGCTAGTTAGGAGTTGCAAAAGATGAACTTGAATTTAGAGTTATTTATTTTTATTTATTCTAACACATAGATATTGGTACAAGGAGGCACCAAATACATATGCGCCACACAAATCTCATTTGATATGTGTGAAGGCTGTGATACTGCCCGGGTGCCCAAACCGAAACAGATGGTTTTCTTAGGGGGCCACACCCGGAGCCTTCGACATGAACGTCTGATCCACAAGGCAGTGGAGCAACATAAGGAGATGCAGTCTCATGGTAGCCGGTGACCAACGATTGGTTCATACGCCATTTGTTCCTTTAAGATACTGGAGCCCATGTGCACCATTGGTTTGGAATCAGGGTTTTCCAACTCCCCTAGATGGACTCTCCATGTCCACCAACCCGACTAAAGCGCCGGACATTCGCTTTTCGTCCTCTCAATTTTGTAAACAACACCCCCGTCACGAGCAGGCAGTGAGTAAGACTTCCCTGGCAAAGGCTATATACGCGTGGCCATGTGAGAGCATTTCGAGAGGGAGAAAGGACTCTGACCACTCTCGGCCGTACCAGGGCATTTGGGGGCGACTCTTAAGTAGTTAATGATAAATAGTACTCTTAAGATTATTTATTCAATTCTCTAAGGAAAAAATATCAAATTAAATATCCATTAATAGACTTTTAACAGTAAAATAAAATGCCCATCTAAAAAATGGTATATGACTGCGTAAATCTATTTACCTCATCAACCAAACGGCGTTTTATGATGCCACGTCGAATCATTTCTTGTTCAATGACACGAGCATTGGCTGCATACGAATCTGCTATTTCTTTTGCTTCGGCTTCCTCTTCTTCATCTTCAATAGTAGAAACAGTGACAGCGGTATCAATGCCTTGAGTAGTTTCTTGTTGTTGAACACTTCGACGCAATGGGGCGTTATTCGAGGCTTCACTTTGCTGTAGGGCAGCCGCTTCAGCAGCTAATGCTTCGAGTAATCTGGCATTAGCAGAGCTTTCATCAATATGCTTCGCAGCAGTTGGTCGTTTCGGACATAACATAGATGCAGATAATGCAGCTTGATCATCTTGAAGTTTTAATGCATTCTTTATAATAAATTCAGTCTAGTTAAATGAAAAAACGTATACCACGTGATTAGTCGTAATAATAAGACAGTGGATGATTGAGCTTTCTTTATTTGAATAGTAACACGATAAATGCAAGTATCATTTAGTAGTATAAAGGGTTACCTAGCAACCTTTGGATTACGACGTTTCAGACCACTTCACTCACTTGAAATTCGAAGTCAGGTAGAATTTTTCATCATCACATGTAAGTGTACGTATTATCAAGGGGGAAAGTAATTTTAGAATCGACAGATTGATAAAAAATCAGCTACTTATCATACCCATAGATCATAAAGTATTTAATACCACGAGTAATACCTGCTAGCATTTTTTTATGTCAAATATCCATAAATTATAATGTAAACATGATTGACAGTAAAGTGAATTATTACTTATATACGTTAAAGTGAAGTGGTTTTAATAAAAATGAAAAATAACACATTAACTCACAAAACAAATTACATCTTAATGTGAGTTGAATGACGGGTTTAAAACTACAAAAACATGATTTTCCGGATTCGGGGAAAGGTCTCGATCATGATATGTAAAAGCTGCCCATATTATTACTTTCCTATCAATGTAACTCGATAAGTGGTTGCAGATTCGTGTGTCCGGAGCTGAGTTGTATGTAGATATGTGTAATTTATTAGTGATCTCATGCTACAAACATAAGAATGTTTTAACCCTTTAGATAATGAATGCAGTTAGCAATTAAAGAATTTTTATAAGTTTTGTTAACTGGGAGTATATCTTTAAAAACATAACGGAAAGCAAGTGTATTAGCATCTGGCTTGTCAGGTTCGCCTGTTAGTTTTTCACTTCCTTACAATCACTGAGCACTTTGATGACAACTATATTTGAGTTTTATGGCACAAGGTACTTAACTACGTTTATTCGCTTCGGTATTGATTTATAAGGAAAATCTGATTTCAGAACCTTAGAATGCATCTGAGTTTTTCTTGGTGGTTAGCTAACACTCCGATAAGGCAATGTAGTCTATGAAGGGTTTATGCAAGACTTTGATAAATAATTTTTATCCATGATAGACTTTAGATTTATTATAAGGCAGAGTCAGCTCTCTTTAGAAATGCTCTCACATAACCACGTACATAGAACCACTGTCAGGGAAGTCCTACTCCCTGCCTTCTCAAGACGTTACTGTTGTTTATGAAATCGAGTAGACGAAAAGTGAGTGTCCGGCGCTTTAACCAGGTTGGTTGATACGGAGGACCCACCTAGAGTCAGTCAGTCAGCTAGAACTTAGGACCAGGCACATATATGCATCGGTCCAAGTTACCACACATCATTAACACAACAAGATGGACACCGCATTCGTAAAAGTAGTTAATTCAGAGGTGGTAATATATAAAAGAAAGATTGCATGTAAGGACATAGTACAGGAAGAAAGAATTAGTTCGTAGAAAAAAAGATATGAAGCGATTTCAATCTCTTAGTTTGAGGGAAGACAGAGAGTGTATACACCAACGCCATTGTGACCGATTCTGAGCCATGTCACCAAGAGTCTCCAACCATTGGTTACGATAGTCACGCGGACCCCAACCAAGTAGTCTGCATCTACCAACATGGCTCAGACTAGAAGTTAGTGACTTTAAGCACTTATACCACGTTTTGGTTTGGCCGCCCCTAACTTTCCCCCAACCATCCCCAACACCAGTTAGCATTGCACGTCATGGTAATCGGTGTTCGAGCATACGTACCACGTGGCCCAACCATCTCAGTCGATGAAGATTCACAACCTCATCAACTGATTTACCATCATTCCCTAATACCCTGCGTCTAACCTCACTATTACTTACCCGGTGATCCCAGCAGACGCCAGCAATATTTCTAAGGCATCTGTGGTCAAATACTAGTAGCTTATGAGTGTCTTCTACTCTTAATGGCCATATTTCGCTGCCGTAAATTAAAACAGAACGGACTGCCGCCCAGTATACTCGTCCGTTAATTGATAGACGGATATCTCGACTTCGTCATAGGTGACGTAAGTTGGTGAAAGCCAAGCGAGATTATCGAATCCGTGCAGAGATGTTGTCAGACACCAACACATTAGGGCTGATCAGACTTCCAACATAAGTGAAGTTGTCAGCGCGTTCGACTACTTCACTCCCTATCCTTAGTTCAGGTGTTGACGCAGACCAGTCCTGAAGCGACAACTTGCATTTAGAGGGAGAGAAGCGCACTCCAAACATCCTGGCATTGTTGCATAGTGCTACAAAAGACTCTGCATTCTATCAGCGCCTTCACCAAACAGGACTATATCATCTACGTATTACATTCAATTCCCAGATTTGAGTTAAAACATTAGTCAACCTGATCGCTAAAATTTGACCACCATACATCAAGACATCTGGAGCCAATCCATCACTACCAGTTGCTCTTCCTCGTTTCAGATTAACTATAGCCTTCTGGACTTCTGCTAGAATTGGGGGACCTACTTCAATGTTCCATTCACACTGTCTGGGAATGGAGGGTAGTTGTAGAGTAGCTGGAGGCCAGCTGAACTGTTCTCTGAAATGTTCCGCCCATCGTTCTAAACGTCTGGACTGAGAGCAGATGAGGGTGTCGTCTTTTTCCGAGATAGTCTCACTTACACATGACTTATTAATTCCAGTTTCTTTTATTAGTCTGTAGAGCTGTCTTGTGTTCCCTATAGCTGCCGCCTTTTCCATCTCTTTTGCTTTCGTTGGCCACCACTGATCACGGTCGTTCCTTAAACTTTTGTTTAACATAGATCTGATCTGTTGTCGCTCTTCATCGTTTCCAGAGCCATGTTAGGCGATGTCTCTCCTGATGCTTAAAATTTGTGTTTGCTAAAAATAAACGATTGTCTGAGCACAGTTGCAGCAGACGATCACCACTATTTGTTCGCTGAGCCGGAATACAAAAATACCCACCTAAATGCCTTTCTGTTTGGTTTAATCTACCTACCTCGGCATTAAAGTCACCTGCTACAAGTACTATATCTGAACGTTGAGCTTTCTGTAAAATTCATCTTTCATCTCATCTGAGCTGGAGTCGGTGGGAGCGTAGGCAAAAACGACAAAAAGGCAACGACGTGTATCCCTATCCTTCCGAGTCCTTACGGAGCCGTTTAGCCGAACAAAACATAAACGACTGTTAACGGGGATCCACTCTAACAGTGCTTGTTCCGCCTTCATGCTTAGTGCTATCCCTACTCCTTCCAGTCCACGAGAGCTGGCCGTCAGGTCACCAGATACACGGAGGGTGTATCTCGTTGGCTCTCCGTTTCGCCGAGGTGAGGTCAAGTGAATGACCACACTGGGATCCTGTATGCGTGTTTCAGAGACACAGCATACATCAATGGTACGAGATTCTAGGGTTTTAGCCAAGGAAGCCTGTTGACCGATTTGACATAGGGTGCGTACATTGAAGGCTCCAATGTGTAGTTTGCAGCGAAGTTTCAGTAGACCTGGGAGTGTTTTGCGCACTGGAATCGTTGGCTATGGTGACACTTGAAGGAGAAGCCGAAAAAGGAAGTTAAGAGGTGAAAGTCGATGTAGGAGGAATAATAGGAAGTGAAGACGGAGATTGATTATGAATACAATGGTCTTGAGCGCTGTTAGAGGTATGAGGGCGGTTATCACTTCCCGGTTGCCCACACCGTGGAAGGGTTCTTCTGGAGGTACCTGAAAAGGAAATTGGATTAGAGGTGGTCTTAGTGACCTGGGAGCGTGACCGCAGTGCCCAAGGGACAACTGCTTGAGGTCAGTCACACACGACCTTTTTATGAGTAATTTTTGAGTTAGCTCCGTACTTGTTGAGACCCTACCGGCGGAGACGGATGTTTGTGTGATAAGACGAGGTGTGCATTTTTAGAGTCAACCTTTTCTAACCCCACCCCTCCTTGTGGGAAGGCAGCATTGCTGTCATGCTGGTTGTCTGAAGGAAACACCTTACTGCTGTCACACCTCTGTACAGTCAGCAGTACGACTTCGCCTTCAGACCTTGGGTTTGTTGCTTTTAGTCTTACCGCCCTTCAACCGACCTGTCTGACATGGTGGGACCTTGAGGAACGGTTGTTCCAGCCAGTATAACTCGTTGCTTCATCACGATATGCAAGCCCGACCACCACGTCAAGGTAGCAACAACAGTCTAGAGGAGTTGGAAAACCCTGATTCCAAACCAATGGTGTACATGATCTCCATGATCCTAAGGAAACAAATAGCGCATTAACCTATTGTTAATTACTGGCTACCATGAGACTGCAATTTCATACGTTACTCCACCGCCTTGTAGATTAAACCTTCAGGTCAAACGCTCGGGGATAAGCCTCCTAAGAAAACCACCTGTTTCGGCTTGGCCACCCGGGGAGTATCCCAGTCCTCACATAAATCGAATGATTTATGTGGCGCATATCTATTTGGCGCCTCCTTGTACCAATGTACAAGTGTTTAAATAAATAAATAAATAATTAATACTGTGGGACCTATATGGACTGGGCATCAACGATCCTGTACGCGGAAACCCTTGGAGTTCTAGTGAGAAGCCGTGATCAGTGGACTTAAACTGTGTCGCGTGAGGCAGTTGCTCACCGAAGACAGTGGAAGATCATCGTGGAGTGTGGTGGATTGATTGAAGTTATACATCAACACCGTTGGATGCCCACTTAGTGGTTTAGAGGTCGAAGGTCCTGGGTTCGACGCCCGCGTGTGGAATCGTTGGTGCACACCTCTGAGGAGTCCCACACAAGGACGAAACGGTTCCCTGATGATTTCAAGTTTTCAATAGTAGTTTGTCTAGCTAAGATAAATTCCTAATTTGAACCGTGAGAATATTTTATATTTATCGAAAATTACCGTTGAATTTTCTGCACTGTGACGATAAAAGATTGGTAATCCACAGCTTTTGCAATACCTGCGGAACTGCTTCTCTATTCCATTTGGCCAACGTATATAAATTGGAGTGAGTGGATTAACAGCCGTAGCTGTTGTTTTATGAGCACGTTTAGATCCATCAATAACTCTAGCGTCATCTCTAGGACGCCTTGGTAGTTTCTCAACTAGACAGTCAATTATCAGTGACATTTGACCACAGATACATGAATAGACAAACAGTGGTTTCTCACTTCCGTAATTATGCCGTGGCCTCGAATCAGTTACAATATGTGTTGCTCGTTTGCGAACGCGTGGTTTATGATCTTTGCTCATATTTCAATTCGAAAATGATCTGGAAAAAATAAGTAAGTCTTACCACAATTAAAAAGCGGAAAATTCACCAAAACGTTTATCTTAAAAACATTCAGTATAAACGAATATCAAACCAAATAGAGTCTGAGAAATGGGTTTAGTATATAAACCCCCTGAAAATCTATTTTATTCTCCTCCTTCATTGCTAGACTACTAATTAAAACAATGCCTGACTTTATGTGTATAGGCGCAAATATCGAGAGGTTTCTTTGAGAAAAGTACGTACCTGTCAAGGCCCCGGCTAAGCTTGACTTTTAAGTGATTATGAAGTACTTAATTAACCACGAGTCTGAATCACTGAGTATGTAGTAGATAAGTTTAGAAACTGCTTTGTTAAGCAGCTATTCTGTGGGGACTAACATTAACACCGAAGTAACTGGAATGTGTCTGGAAACTCATTTGTGGCTAATAAAGTGACGCATCAACTGATAGCACTATTTCACTAATGCAGGTTGGTATTAAAAAATACAGCCGATACAAACAAGTGTCCACTACCTGATATTCCTGAATCAGACGAAATCAGAAAGTCCTTAGACAGAACAAACAAAAGTATTTTGTTTAGTTAAACCATTATTTAACCTAATTATTTTATTACAGCTCGACGAATTATATGGGAAAAATTCCTTTTTACGGGTTATATGATATGTTCAGCTCGCAGCTCTAACAACAACAAGCAAACAAAAAAGGGGAATAAAGGCGAACTTTAGGGAAAATCCTTACGATAAGTCGGTGTGAATATATGCGACAATGAATCAAATTACCACTTTTCCGCAGCCCGGAGTAAATGATGCTGATTTTCTCCTAAATTAACCCACTGACATGTCTCGTAACTAACACTTTTACCTTCCTCAAAACTAACACCAATTCGTTCATTTTTACCAAGAATAAACACGTTAAACAGTCAACATTTTGCAAAACTCAACAAACCACTTTTGTACCGTCCAAATACTTCGGGAACTCCCTTTTAATTCCCAAGAGCAACCGAACTATCTGAGCACCCAACATAAAAAAGTGGTTTATATGAAGACGATTCATCAACAAATTCTACACAAAGTTGTCGATAATATAAAAATATTACGTGCGTGACCGGTCACAAGCAGTTGTTGAACTCTCTGGTCACACTCCCAGGTCACTAAGCTAATCGCCAACTCAGCCTTGTTTTCAGGTCTCGAGAGGGAATACCCTTCCACGGTATGAACAGCTGGGAAGTAACAACTACCCGTATACCCTTGTCAGAGCCTGAGGTCATCTTGTTCACGAGCAAACCTCTCACTCAACTCGTAATAATTCTTCCATCCCTACAATCAGTCCTTCTGGCATATCATCACACCCCACCAATGCTAATGATTTGCGCTTGAGAAGTGTTATTTCTGGTTTCCTGAAACTACTCTCTAAACTACATATTATAGCTTTTAATGTTCGAAATTTGTGTCGAATAAAGCAACAGACTTTCTTAGCTAGGACTCTACAATCTCACGCTATCAACGTAGGCTGCGTCTTCGAAACGCACATATAGGATCCAAGTACAGCCATTCATATGACCTCACCACGTCAAACATAAATAACCAGCACGAATTACAATTCGAGTATCTGGAAACCCCACTGCTACTTCTCTTGACCTCGCTGGTGTTAAGTTCAAAAGCAGAAGTGTCCGTTAGGCTGGATCCCAATAAACAGTCGTCTGTGAGGGACAATAAGAAATCGAAAAAATAGCACACATTGTTGCATATTCTTTGCCTCTGCCTACGCTCCCGATGATTGCAGTTCGCATAAAGTCAAAGATGAATTTCGTAGGAAGCTATCCAACCTCTTTCAAAAAGCTGAAGGCTATGATATAGTAATGGTGCGAGGTGATTTTAATGCTCAAGTAGGCAAACTAAACCAAACCGAAAGGCGCTTGTGAGGGTCTTACGGCTTGGTGAACAGATAATGGGGACTGTCTATTTCAAGCAGGCACCAACTTCAAGCGTAAGGTAGGATATCATTTGAAGTTGCGACTCCCATAATCGACTCAACGATGGACCATCGTTGGAGAGGTTCGATTAAAGACTGGCGCTTATTCTGGAGGAAATGTTTAGACTCGAATCATACTCTCGTACGAGTACTTATACGTCTGTCTTACTGAAAATAAAAAACCACAGCAAGAAAAGTCAACGAAAAAGTCAAGAATGTATTTTCGACGTCCAGCATATTGTCTCATATTTGCAGGCAATTCGACCACATCCAAGGACAGCTTCGCCATGTTATTATCTTTGATAATCTGTGAAACTAAATTCAGTCTCATACTAAACTTACTCGTCCTAGATTGCATCGTTATTAGGTGTCGAAGCACTGGCTGATGGAAATGACTACTTTGGTTAGGCTTATTTAAACACATCTGAATCGATAACATACTTGATAACTGGGGAGGTGGGAGTTTCGTGGTTTAAATTTGGGATATTTTGCCTAGCTTTATCCATCTTGCATTTCTGAGAAACCCAAGTCGACAGAATCATCTAGGTGGTCTGACTTTCGTTCTAAAACTTCTCTGCCAACAATGATAGGTAATGACGCCCAACCCGTTTTAGTTTATCGTTCTGGAGTACTTATTCCAGTCTGGGAAAAAGGTAATAATTTGATACATTGTTGCGTATATTCACACCGATCTCTCAAAAAGACATTTCCCTGAAGTTCGCCTTTGTTTCCCTTTTATTATTTGCGTTGTAGGAGGATCCTACCAACAATGCGAACCTTAAGGGCTGAATGGACGAAGTATGGGTGATATGAAGAAACGAAAACTATCGACCTTTGTTCGTGCAACCATCCCCCTAATTTTAAGTAGAAACCATGCAGCCACTAGTTTTCTGACTCTAGTAACTGTCACCTATTGCTGAGTAAATTTAGGTTTTAACGGTAATGCAAAATACTATTGAATCAAGCATTATACTACGAGTAAGGATAAAAGACTGGGTTCACTAAAGTATTAGTTAATCAGTAACTGGGATTGTCGTTTGAATAACATTAGAAATTTGCACAAGGTAGAGCTTCAAATTTTCTGACGTAATGACATGACTGACCTTCAGAATTTAGTGTCCTTATGAGTACATCGTTACAGCTTACAACAGACCAATACATGGTTATTCTATCTTAATTCCTATATCGAGAGAAATGATTCAAAATGTTACAGAAAAGATAGCACAAATATACATAGATAGGCACATACCATACACCGACAAATTAAATTAGTGATGTAAAGGTTTGATAAAAACTCAGTCCAGTATAAAAAAGCAATGCCAAAAAATAACATAACCATTCTGTATTGTATGACACTTTCGACAGCCGTCTTATACTACAAATAACGTCTGTAGTCTAAATACAGTTGAGTATGTAACTTAGTTGGTCGATTGCTCCAGCTTGTTCACTCCAATTCGGCAAATCACTGCAAACTTTGGGGAATTTGAGGTGATATTCAGCGAAACGTCTAGGGCGATATAGCGTTTCTAACACATCGGTTGGCCAGTGTCTCAACCGATTGAAGCACTCAAAAAATCACTGATCGATAATGAATAAAATCTTATATTTATCTCTACTATAGAACACTATGTTCCACAGAAACGGCTGCACCGTTTAGAAACATTAAGCAAACTAAGTACTTATAGGCAAAAAGGAATATGTATTCATACCCTGCCTCAAAAACTTGTAACCTCAGTAACCGTACAGAAGAGATTGCTACAAACTGTATCTGTATTACCGACTGCCAATGGATGGAATAAATCGTAGGTAACACACTAAAAACAAGAGCGACATGTGGATCTCAGGAAATCTTCAGAAAGCATCCAAAGAACCCGACCATACTGTACACACCAAAGTCAAACGGCGGCAAAATTACTGGTGCGTTCAAACAGTTCGAACGGTTCTTGACGGAATGTAAGAAGTTTTCACTTAACATGATTATGCGTCTAGTAGCAGTGGATCACCGATGCCTCCAAGTAGGAACTTAAACATATTCAATGGTTCAAATGGTTCAAATGGTTGTGGACGGAATAGAAGCTTTCGCTTAACAGGCTTCCGTGTCTAGTAGCAAGGGATCATCAAATCCTCCAGGCAGGAACCTAGGTATGTTAACAATAAAAGAGGAAAAGAAATTGGTAAATCATAGTGTGATGCTGTCCTTGATCCTTAAGAATAGGTCAAGTTGCCTCTTGAAGGACTCCTGAGAAGTCGCTTGGACTAGCTCGACCGGCAGCGAATTCCAGATTTTGACAACTCTTAAGGAGTAGAAGTTGTGTCTACATTCCGTCTTGCTATGTTGTGTTTCCAGTTTCTGGGTGTTACCCCTTAGGTTATTATTCGAACTAAGCTTAAGTAGGTGTTTAAGAGGATGTCCAGAAGTGTTAAGAATACTATAAACCATTAATAAATCACCTCGAAGACGCCTATACTCTAATGGGTAAAGGTCTAGTGACTGGAGGCGTTCTTCGTAAGGTTTAGATTTGAGTCCTCGAACTGATTTCGTGGCTCGACGTTGGATACGCTCCAAAGTGACCTTGTCCTTTTGGAGTGAGGGAGGGTGTACTATGTTTCCGTACTGTAAATGGGGACGGATGAAACTATTGAAGATTGTATGGAAAGTTCGTCCGTCAAACTGTCCAAAAATGCGCTTCAACGTTACCAGTGCAAGGTTTGCTCGGAAGGCGTTTTTGTCACAGTTAGCGTAAGACTTTAAATCATGGGGCACCAGGACTCCTAAATCTTTTTCGACTTGGGATACTACTAGAGAGGAGTTTCCTAAGTTGTAACTGTAGTTTGCAATATGTTGCAGATGGACTACTTTACACTTTAAAGTTTTGAAGGTAAGTCCGTTATCGTCTGCCCAACTTTGAAGTCGAGTCAGATCCTCCTGAAGTGCCTGTATATCGTCTTCGTTGCGTATCTCTCTCCAAAGTTTCACGTCGTCGGCAAAAAGTAATGTCTGACGTTACCTGTTGAGGAAGATCATTTATGTAGATCAAGAAGAGAAGAGGCCCTAGTACTGAGCCCTGGGGGACCCCACTAGGACATTCCATAGCCTGAGATAAAGTGAAATTAACCCTAACCTTAAAGTGTCGATTATTTAGGCATGAAGTAAGCCAATCGATTAGAGGTGGTCTGATACCCAATCGTTTGAGCTTATTGATAAGACGTGTATGGTTAACCTTATCAAAAGCTTTTGAGAAATCAAGGTAAATGACATCAACCTTTCCCTTGCGATCGAGGATGCTTGTCCATCTGTCAACCGCAGTCAGCAGGTTGGTTATACAAGAGTAACCATTCCTGAAATCATGCTGTTAGGGTGAGAAGAAATTTAAGGACAGTAGATAGTCATTTAAACCGTCGCATATCAGGGACTCCATGAGTTTTGAAGGTAATGACAGAAGAGCCACTGGCCGATAACTTGAACGTTCATTGCGTCGACCACCTTTGAAAATTGGTGTGATGTGAGCCAACTTCCAATTTTCCGGTAATTTGCCTCGACTTAGCGAGTGTGAAAACATCACGCTAAGCGGCGTAGCCAGGATTGAGACTGCCTCCCTCAGTATGGCAGGATGAACCATATCCGGGCCAGGAGAAGTATCTAATCTTAAGTGCTGCAATTTCTGGAACACCAAGTCAGCGCTTAGGTCTACTTCGGAAAGTCCTGTGGAATTGCAGATGAAACTGTCGTCAGTAAAGTTGATGTCAGCCGGTTGAAATGTTTGAGAGTAATGTGCCGCCAGAAGGTCAGCGGCGTCGCCATCGTTGTTGGTCGGGTTGTTGAGACCTAGCAGTTGGGAAACTCCAGTTTTGGCTTGACGAAGAGAGGCTGCATAGCGGAATAGGCTTCTAGGGTTAGAAGCAAATTTGTCCATAGGCTTTGCCTGGTACTGAAGCCTGTCTTCTCTTATAGCTTTCGTGCATATGTTCCTTATATGTTTATATTGCCTATACGCTCCATCGTTATTAGATCGTTTGTATTCTGCCCAACAGTGCCTTTTGCGTCTTAGCAGGCGAAGGGTACGGTTCTTGATCACTGTAGGAGGTTTGCAGCTTTTGGGAACCGTTTGAGGAACTGAGTGGTTTGTAGCACATAGGAGCGTGTGCAGTAGGAAGTCCCAGTGACCGTCCACGTCGAGTTGAGGGTGAACATCCCGAAACACCTGTTGTAGATAGTCATGTAGAGCTGGCACATTCAGCCGTTTAAAATTCCAACGCAAATTATTGTTGGGATACCTTGGCTTAGTTTTGATGACAAAACTGAAGGCTATGACGGCATGGTCGCTCTTTCCCAGAGGAGCCAGGATTGAGAGGTTGTCGATTAGGAAATCTTCGTTAGTGAATACACAGTCTAAGCGCGATGGTGTCTGACTGTTTCTCCAACGAGTTGCCGACCTCACATTTTCGTATAAGCCCAAGTTATCGATGAGGTTGAAGAACCGAGCCTCAGTTGAGTTGTCGCCTCCAGTGTACGTGTGTTCCGCGAAGTTGACTCTAGGGAGATTAAAGTCCCCTAGAATCAGGATGTGTATGAAACCGAGACGGGTGGAGCGGGATAGTCCTTCCAGCATACGACTATCGTACTCGATGTCGGCAGTTGACTTCCTGTAAATGACTCCGACTAGACACCTCGAAGTACTGGACAATCTTACAGAGCATCATATGGATTCCTCAAGATTGTTAAACTCGAGGTTGTGAACTTGGTGCACCTCCAAGCAAGAGCTTATGTATATGGCTACTCCGCCCCCAATTCCTGATTTTCTGACGTTGCGGAACAAGGACATCCCAGGTAATGCTAACTCTTGGTCCGAGAACTGAGAAGATATCCAGGTTTCAGATATTCCTATCAGATGGGCCTTATTAGCGTTGCTAAGTTCACGTAATTCATCCAGTTTGTTTGGTAGACTAGCGGCGTTCATATATAAGCAGTTTATGCTTTCAATTTGGAACGCGTGAGCGTCGTCCTGTTTTTCTGTATGAGCCTTATGTGAATGGACAGGTAGCCCACCTATATGAGGTTTGCCGAGGTGGTAGGCCCTGTCCTTTACACGTTTTTTTATCATTTAGACAGTCCACAAGTGGAATGGTCAGCTCCAACTTGCTTTTGTGTTTGGTCCTAGCTTCATATGGTGAAAGGGAAATAGCAAATAGTAAAGCATAGCGTGGTACTGTCCTTAGTCCTTAAGAATATGTCAAGTTTCTTCATAAAAACTCCTACGAAGTCGTTAGAATTGGCCCACTCGACAGTGGGTTCTAGTAAAAGGTGTGTCCTCAGTCCGTTCTGCTGTGTTGTGTCGCTAACTTCTGGGTATTATCCCTAAGGTTTGTATTTGGACTGAACTTAAGTAGGTATTTAATGGGATGCACATGATTGTTTATGACGCTCTAATTCATTGAAAAATCACTTCTAAGACGCTTTTACTCTGATGGATGGGGATTCAATGATTTTTGATGCTCTTCATAAGGCTTCAACTTGAGTCCCCGAACCGATTTCGTGGCTTGTCTCTGTTTCCGTTCCAATATATTCTTATCCCCTTTGGAGTAAGGGAGGAAATATTGTGTTTCCTTACTCTAAATGGAGCCGAATAAAACTACTGAATATTACACATAAAGTTCTACCGGCGAACTGGCCAAAAATGTGCTTCAACGTCCTTGGTGCAGGGTTTGTTCGAAAGGTATTTTTGTCACGGTCCACGTAAGACTTCAGATCATAGGGTACCAACAGTCATAGGTCCTCAGATTAGAGTTACCTGTTTGTCTTCACCTCCATTTGTTGATGTATATGAGATATAAGGACTAGGTCATCTATGAAGTCCAAACTGTCTAGTTGCATTCAACCTGTCCATTTTATTCCGTGCTTTCCGTTATATGTAGAGGTCTTCATAATCCAGTCAACTATCGGAAGAAAGAGAAAGTGTGGTGGCCGGTATTCTATATAATCCTTAAACTTCGTATGCAGTTAGTCTTGATAACCGTCACTAGATAACGCCCCAACTGTTTACTGATCAGAAGGCGGATACGAAGTGTTGATTACGTTTATTATGGGACCACACATAGATATCCAATTAATAGGTACGCTAAGCATGCATGAAAGAGTAGTACCGAAAAGCTAGTAGGCAAGCAAGCGAGCTAGTCAGCGAATACGATTATGTGTAAACGAGTACAATGAACATGAATAAAATGTACATATACATATATAGTGAATTGAAAGAATCATTGAATCAATTAAGCGGTTAACAGTAGGGCTAACAGAGTGAATATATGCTTAGGCAGTAAACAGTGCTCAAGCATACATACTTATACAAGTGTAATTATAGTAAAGGTACAATGATATAGATAAGCGGTTATTGTACAAGTGACTCTGTCCGTTAAATAAGCTAACAGAAAGGGCTTAACCAAATTAAATCTAAACAAACTCAACTTCACGTGAGCTACTATAAAAGTGGAAGAGTAAGTAGCCTTGTCTGACTCTGAACCTCACTTGGAATGCGTCTGCACCTGTTCTCCATGCACCGCTTTACACTTTGGTCCGTCGTATGAATTCCGTATAATGTTGACGATTTCCTAACCCACTCACTCAGTTGCGTCGAAGAAGATTCCGTAAGGTTTTCCTATCCACACTGTCACAAGCTTTCTCATAACCAAGAAAACTGATGTATAGCGACGAAGTCCACCCAATGGATTATTCAATGATGAGCTGTAGTGTAGCGAATTGGTTTCCCACATTTTACAGACGTTCCATATACCTATAAAAATTGTTGTTCGGGATATTTGAAGGGACAATGGCTCCGTGACTCCCAAAGAATCTCGGATTTCACCCTGAAGCGTCATAATTATTCCTTCACTTTAACG